TGCAGCATTCCACCTGGTTGGCTCTCTGATCACTTGGTATAGACCATATTGAATCACTTCAAGAAACTTCTCTTCTTTACTGCTGGACTCTTTAAAATCCCAATCATTATGTCTGAAATTAAAATCTCCCATGATTAGTACATCAGTATTCTTATTAGTGACAACCCTGATCTCATTATATAATTCCTCACTTATATCATCTGTCTGATTAGGTGGCCTATAGGAGTTGCCAGTTAAAAAAGTTTTTTTTTGGAACCCATAATTGTAACCCATCTAGATTCAATCTCTGGACTATAATTTTTCACTTCAGTTCCTAAAGGTTACAGGTCATATAGACTTTGAAAAACATCACTGTTCAGTAACTTATAATCTGGAATTTTAAAGCTGTTTTATTATCAGTGTTTTCCTAACCTTACCAAGTTTTGGTAATACCCATTAGTCTCCCATTTCAACTTGAGCCTCAAACTCATCCATTTTGTTTTAATTATCCTAATGTTAGAATAATATTATAAGATACCTGTTTTCTCCTGCTGGGTTCGAAGGCTGCCCTCTCAATATTCACAGAGACACTAACTTACCAATCATGCTTCTTCATAATCCACAGATGGGGTGCTTCTACCCACAAAAGACACAGTAGGTCATCTGCCTGTGGTGTCTTAGCACGTATACCAAGTTTAGTCCCACTAACTTTGAAGTTGGGGTATGGAATGGACATAGTTACAAATATCCCAGTTTGAGAACACAAGATCTAATGCCAGATTCAAGTTCATTGCCTATTCCTAGACCTCATCATGATTATTTGACCTTATGGGCATGTTTTAGCCTCCTCTTGCAATGGGGCTATGCCATATAGATAAGGCCACTCACTGGACCATTCTTAATCCACCTGCCAAATTGGTCTTGCTAACTTCAAAACTGGAAGGAATTCATGAACAAACAAACATACACAACATGAATAAATATAGGAACTTATTCTTGAATCTACTATGTTTATCTATAAAGCTGAAAATTTTATGATTTAAACTTTTATTTAACTTATGCTTTAAATCTCCATTAAATGAATCCCATCTTTAACATTTGCACTTACATTAAACAATCCCACACATCCCAGATGTTGCAGTAATGCATTGCAACCTGCATCTAACTGTAGGAAGTACTTCCAAAGTGATCACACATCTCGTACTATACCTAAACTTCTAAAGGAGTTCTTTATAATTTCCAAGAAGCTCTTTTGATTAATAATTTCCAACATCATTCACTCCTACATGCACTATGAAAAGAAAATGTTCCTTGTTGCCAACAGCTAAACTGTCAGCTCATTTTACAATGTCCTTTACTTTGCAAACAAATTCCAATTAGAGACCTTCTATGCTTCTCACTACAAGTAGCTTTGTCAGTATACTTAATGACAGTCCCCCACTGTGTAAACCTTTTGGTTATCTTAGTCATCATTCCTCAACATGATCTAACACTCAAACACCTTCATTAACAGATTTCTCTTATTTCATAAAAGTTTGAAACTAACGTTGGAAATTTATTAATACACCACAGTATCGCTGTAACTAATATACATAAGACCCTAGCAATTAACCTATAAAGATAATAATACATCACCTGCTATTACTGCTTTGACAAACAAACATTCATACCTGGATCACAAACCACCTACCATATAAAAAGTAATTTCTTCTGTAATTTAAAGTCAGTGGTTTATTGTGCAGTCTGTGACAACTATGGTCATCTGTAGTTTGGTGACATAGGTTGTGTGTAAACTGATATGGATAAATTAATACTCAATACCATCCTTTTAAGCACTTTAATATCTGAGTATAGGAGTTATGCTGAAAAAAGGTATACTAATTATATTAGGAATTTCCTATTACAAACATGTATGCATAATTTGAAGAGATTTCTCAATTTTTATACAAAACCACACCTTCCTAGTTCCTCAAATGGCTACTTCAATCAATAAGTTTATCTTCAATAAACAGGGTGACACATGATGAGTAGAAGTGCAATGCATCATTTCATCAGATGAACACTAGTATAATTAAAGAAGGATATGTGAAACTGGTAAAATACAGACACAAAGAAAAGGATGGTATGTTATCATGGAAAGTGTGTGACTGATTTACTAAATTGCTGTATACTTATGGTGATCTCTTGCCTTATGTAAATACAGTTACATAAATTATAAAAGCTGTTAAATAGAAACTTTCACAACAGATGTAACACATTCTCTCCAATACAGTGGTATAGTTTTCAGAATAGTTCCATCCAAATAAAAAATAAAACCTATCTCAAACCCTGTCTTTATCAATAAGTAATGTTTAGATTCTCCTTCCTAAAAATACAAAGCTGGAGAAAGCATGTTTCAGGAGTTTGTATTTCCATCATTAAGCTTGAAATCCTCTAGCTTCAAGGGGTGTTACCACCCTGGACCCCATTAGGGTGGCCTTTAACCCCAAGACTTCACTTCAATAGTTGAACCTCCCCTGATAAAAATCTCGGAATCTCCTTGTATATAAAACTTACAATTTTAAGCTATTTTCTAAATCATAGTGTTTGAAGAGTCATGTACATCTGATGATAATAATAATTTAAAATAGTGTTTGTAAAGGTTTTTAATTCTTTTGTGCAGTTTTCTGGCTAGAATATTGCACAAGTAAAGAACTCCAATAATATTTTTTTTCAGAAAATAGGCTAATTCAAGCAGTGAGGAAAACATCAGACCTAGAGTTAGAACTAGAAGGAGTTCGTACAACAGAGAATTCTCTTCGAGATACTATTTTGCAACTGCAGAATTTGAATGAATCACTTGGACAAGATAAAATTGAATTGAATAAATATATAATTGAGGTGAGTTTGAAATGAATTTGTTGAAAAATATTGAAATTGGACAGTTCAAGGTTAATATCTTAAAATTTACAGTATTCCAATATAAGAATAACTTCAGGAATTGATTGAATAAGGTTTTTGTGTATGTTTTCTTGTGATATATATTGTAAAACTCTTTTTAATAACAACTTCACAGCCTTGAAAATTCATTAGATATATTATTCAAATTTGACATCAGAAATCACCATTTCCACCCCTCGAAATTATCAAGGGTCCTCAAAATTCTAGTTAAAAAAAGAAAGAAACAAACAAAGTTATCAAATATTAAGCAGTGTTGAGTATAGCTCAATATTTCTGCCTACGTCTACAGAGATATTTTACTAATCGACAAGTGACATTTAGCACGTCACTGCATCCAGGGGCTCTGAAATACCCACTTGTCTCCCAACAATGTGAATCTTAAAAGTGTTCTAGATTATGTTGAACTTCACTTTATTTATTTAAGAGTAATAACAAAAACATTAAACATGTACAATATCAACGATGTGTATAGGTTTTGTAATTGTTTTTTAAAAACTTCTACCAAACATTTGTATATGTAAAATATTCTAATGTAAGTTCTACTATTAGAATAATAAATTTATTTCAATTTAATAGTAGTTAACTAAACTGGAATCAAATATAGAAAGTACATATTTTCTACATCTTAAAATGTTGATGAATATCTGAAAGACAGATTTATTAAATATTTCATTGGTTCAGTTGGAAGATTCAAAAGAAAATCTTGCTAAAGAAAAGAATGACTTTGAAAAAGAATGTAGACACTTGAAGGAAGAGTTTAAGCGGCTGTTACAACGACTTAACGAGGCAGAAGCCAACCAGTCAGCTCTAGCTGAATCAGTGGAAAGAGCCAAAGTCACAAAAGATAACTTAGAAGAAGAAATGGATCAAATGGCTAAGGAACGAATGGAATTACAAACACAACTTACTATGGTATGTGTGTGGAAAAAAATATCGTGTTAACTATAATTATTAACTAATTGGTTAGAGAATGATGGATGTATGTTATATATCTACAGGAAAACAATTATTTTAACTAACAGTTGGAGTTGACTAAAAGTACTGGATACATGATTTGTATATGGTCATGAGAAATTCTAGACCATGTTTTTCAGGATTACAGCTTTCCTTACAGTTGTTTAAGTTCTGTAGAATCTTGAGTTAGTATTTTTAGAAATTAGCATCATCAGTTTAGTAATTAATTTCTGAGATAAAATCTTTTTTTGTGTTGAGAATAACAATAGTGCCATCCTTGTAAGCTATTGTTGCAAATGTGTATAAGCTACTTTTCTTGCCACATTTGAGTAGTAATGTTGAGAGATAGTGCAGATGCTGTACCACATGTGCTATTCAGTTAAATTATACCTACCACATCAAGGATAACTTCAGTACAGAGTTGTGTGATCTATTCTAGATAGAATAACATTGAAAATAGTTGATCCTCTGAATCAAACATTAAGCCAAAGACTAACTATCTCTTTCGCTCATGCAATTTGCAGCAATTGAGTCATGAATTGCACTTGTACAACATTACATGCAGTGACTCTAAGATTTCTTAACATATCTTGTCAAAAACTGGAAAGATTTCATTAAAGATCATTAGTATCTTGTACACATATAATTTTGATAAAGGAGTTAGCACAAAGGATCACATATAAAGTGTAAT